TCTTTTTTGGGCTGAGTCATATTCTATTGTACATATGCACCACATCTTCTCTATCCATTTATCTATTTTTTTAAAGGACTTTATTTATTTTTAGAGAGAGGTGAGATTGATTGCCTCTCACCCCATCCCCTAAACTTGGAACCTGGCCTGCAACACAGGTATGTGCCCTGGCTGGGAATTGAACGAGTGACCTTTTGGTTTACAGTCCGGCACTCAATCCACTAAGCCACACCAGCCGGGGCTATGCATTTATCTCTTGATGGACACTTAGGCTGCTTCCATATTTTGGCTATTGTAAGTAATGCTCCAATGTACATATGGATGTATATGTCTTTTTGATTTAGTGTTTTGGGTTTCTTCAGATAAATACCCAGAAGCCAAATTGCTAGGTCCTTCTTTGTCTCTGTTATAGCCTTTGTTTTAAAGTCTATTTTGTTTGGTATAAGTATTGCTACCTGGCTTCCTATTGTTTCCATTTTCTTGCAATATCTTTTCCATCACTTTACTTTTAGTCTGTGTGCGCCTTTCTGTCTGGAGTGTCTTGTAGACAACATATATAAGGGTCTTGTTTTTTTTTTTGTCCATTCAGCCACCATATGTCTTTTGACTGGAGATTTTAATCCATTTGCAGTTTAAGTAGTTGTTGATAGATAAGATATATATTTATTGCTATTTTATTATTAATATTCTTGATGTTGTTCTTATTTCTTCTTCTTCCTCCTCCTCCTCCTTATTCTCCTTCCTTCCTTCCTTCCTTCCTTCCTTCCTTCCTTCCTTCCTTCCTTCCTTCCTTCCTTCCTTCCCTTCTTCTTTCTTCTTTTTTTCTTCTTCTTCTTCCCCTCCTCCTCCTTTTTCTAGAAGATCCTTTAACATTTCTTAGAATGTTGGTTTGGTGATAGTAAACTCCTTTAGCTTTTTCTTGTCTGGAAAACTCTTTATCTGTTCTTCAATTCTAAATGATAGTCTTGCTGGGTAAAGTAATCTTTGTTGTAGGTCTTTGTTTTTCATCACTTTGACTATTCTGTGCCAGTCCTTTATGGCCTGCAAAGTTTGTTTTGAGAAATCAGCTGACAGTCTTATGGGAGCTCCCTTGAAGGTAACTAACTGCTTTTCTTTTGCTGCTTTTAACATTCTCTCTTTGTCTTTAACCTTTGGCATTTTAATTATGATATGGCTTGGCTTCATCTTGTTTGGGACTCTCTGCCAGAGGTTATGGGGGCATCTTCCCTGGCACTGGAACCCTAGGCTTGGGAAATCTCATGTGGGGCTTGGACCCCTCACCTCTCAGGGCAGACCTCTGCAACTGAGCTGTCCCTTTCAATTTTTAACTGCCACATGTGGGTGTGGGATCAGCCAATTCTGTTGCTCCTATCTATCTCTTTGTGGCTTCTATTTATCCTTATTATAGGACTCTGTTCAATCAGATTTCTGGTGGTTCTGAATGATGGTTATTCTGTACTTGTAATTTCGTAGTAATTGTGGGAGGTTCCAAATTGACCTACGCCACCATTTTGACTAGAGCCTCCTTTACTCCTTTTCTTTAATAATTGAATTTATTGAGGTGATAATGGTTAATAAAATTATATAGGTTTCAGGTACACAATTCTATAATACATCATCTGTATATTATTATATCATGTGTTCACCACTCCAAGTCAAGTATTTTTTCCTTTACCATTTATCCCCTACCCCCTTACCCTCTTCTAGCTCCCCTTTCCTTCTGGTAATCACCATACTGTTGTGTATCTCTATGAGGGGTTTTTTTTCTTAATTTTTATACCTTTTTCACCCAGGCCTCCAGCCTCGCTTCCCTTGTGACAGTTGTCACTCTATTCTCTATATCTCTATCTGTGTCTATTTTGTTTGTCAGTTTATTTTGTTCACTAGTTTCCACATATAAATGAAATCATATGGTACTTTTCTTTCTCTGACTGGCTTTTTTCACTTAGCATAATACTATCCAAGTTCATCCATGCTGTTTGCAAAAGGTAAGATTTTCTTCTTTTTTTCTTTTGTCTCATAGCAGTCCATATCAAAACTTTGTTTTTTAATCCATTCATTACTGATTGGCACTTGGTCTGCTTTCAAATCTTGGCTATTATAAATAATGCTGTAATGAACATAAGGGTGCACATATTCTTTCAAATTAGTTTCTTTGGATATATTCCCAGAAGTGGAATCTCTGGGTCTTAAGGTAGTTCCATTCTTTATTTTTTTGAGGCAACTTCATACTGCTTTCCACAGTGGCTGCCCAAGCCTGTATTCCTTCCTCCATTCCTTTTTATTGTTCATATTCTGTTTATTTTTATTTTTATTTTTATAATAACTTACTTTATTTTTTAATCTTTTCTCATTTTATTTAATTTTTAGAGAAAGAGGAAGGGAGGGAGAAAGAGAGGGAGAAATACATTGTCGTGCAAGTGATATATCAATGAGTTGCCTCTCACACTCCCCCAATAGGTGACCTGGCTCGCAACCCAGGCATGTGCTCTGACCATGATTCTAACCAGCAGCTTTTTGGCTCATGGGCTGCTACTCAATCCACAGAGACACACCAGTCAGGGCTCATATTCTCTTTATGAATATACCATATTTTATTTATTTAGTCATAGGTTGAATGGCATTTGACTTGTTTGGTTTTTGGCTATTATGAATAATGCTGCTTTGAACATTTATTTACAAGGTTTTCTATGGACATGTTCTCATTTTTCTTGGAAACACACCTAGAAGTGAAATTGCTGGGTCATATGGTAACTATATGTTTTACATTTTGAGGAACTGCCAGACTGTTTTCCAAAGCACTTATGCCAGTTCACATTTCCACCAGCAATGTATACATGTTCCAGTTTCCCTACATTATCTTCAATTCAGTATTATCTCTTCTTTTGTTTGAGTTTTTCATAGAATATTTAGTGAAAAAATAACTCCATTTCAATATATTATTGATTGAATAACCAAATATATTTAATGGTTGAATTTCTTTTTTTTTTGAATTTCTTTTTATTTAAGGATTTCTTTATTGTTATTCTATTACGGTTGTCCCAATTTCTTCCCCCTTTGCTTCCTCTGCCAAGCCTAACTCCCACTCCCACAGTTAATCCCCACACTGTTGTCCATGTCCATGGGTCATTCATACATGTTCTTTGTATGACATGTTCTTTGGACTTCTGAAACATAAGAGAAAAAGAAAAATTCTATCTTTTTTTAAATTGATTATGCCATTACAGTTGTTCTATTCCCCTCTTCATTCCCCTCCACCCTGCACACACCCTCCTCCACTATCCCCCCCTTTAGTTTATGACCACGTGTCTCAAGTTCTTTAGTTTCTATATTTCCCATACTATTCTTACCCTCCCCCTATCTATTTTCTACCTACCATCTATGCTACTTATTTTCTGTACCTTCTTCCCCCTTCTCCTCCTCCCACTCCCCTGTTGCTAACCCTCCATGAGATCTTCATTTCTATGGTTCCGCTCCTGATCTAGCTGTCCTTTTAGTTTGCTTTCGTTTTAGTTGTGGTTGTTAATAAGTGCGAGTTTGCTGTCCTTTCACTGTTCATATTTTTCATGTTCATTTTCTTAGGTAAGTTCCTTTAACATTTCATATAATAAGGGCTTGGTGATGATGAACTCCTTGAATTTGACCTTATCTAGGAAGCCCTTTATCTGCCCTTACATTCTAAATGAAAGCTTTGCTGAATAGAGCAGTCTTGGTTGTAGGCCTTTGGATTTCATGCCTTGGAATACTTTTTTCCAGCCCCTTCTTGCCTGTAAGGTCTCTTTTGAGAAATCCTCTGACAGTGTGATGGGAAGTCCTTTGTAGGTGACTGTCCCCTTATCTCTTGCTGCTTCCAGGATTCTCTCCTTCATTTTAATCTTGGCTAATGTAATTATGATGTGCCTTGGTGTGTTCCTTCTTGGGTCCAACTTCTTTGGGACTCTCGGAGCTTCCTGGATTTCCTGGAAGTCTATTGCCTTTTACAGATTGGGGAAATTCTCATTATTTGTTCAAATAAGTTTTCCACCCGTGGCTGTTCCTCTTCCCCTTCTGGTACCCCTATAATTCGGATGTTGGAATGTTTAAAGATGTCCTGGAGGTTCCTAAGCCTCTCCTCATTTTTTTGAATTCTTGTTTCTTCATATTTTTCTGTTTGGTCATTTTTTTCTTCCTTCTGGTCCACTCCCTTGATTTGAGTCCTAGTTTCCTTTCCATTACTATTGGTTTCCTGTGCATTTCCCTTCATTTCAATTAGTTTAGCCTTCATATGTTCCTCTAATTTGTGACTAAAATCAACCAGTTCTGTGAGCATCTAATCACCAGTGTTTTGAACTATGCATCTGATAGGTTGGCTATCTCTTTGTCACTTAAAGACAAAGAGAGTATTGGCTCTGGAGCGTTGATTCATTCTTCTGATTGAGCCATTTTTGGTCAGGTCACAACTGTTACATGTGAGGGGCAGAGCCTTAGGTGTTCACCAGGGTGACCCAGTGGCTGGGTTGTTAGGCTGTATGTGGGGGCAGGGTGAAAGGGGGGCAACAGCGGTCCCCTCTGCTGCTTCTTGCTGCTGGGGTCTGCGCGGTCTGTCTCACTGCTCACTCCTTTGCTGGTTTATCTGTGCACAAATGTGTGACCACGGTCAGCCTGACGCCTTGTGTCCTCAGTGGGTCTGTTGGTTGCTACTCCACACCTGGGATCCGCCCACAGCTGCCTGCGTGCCTTCGCGCACCTGGGTCAGGCGCCTGGATCCGTCCGGTGGATCTTTCCTGCCTGACCCCACTCTGTTGCTGGCTTCGCCCCTCTTGTCGGTCTGGCTGAAAGGTTCGTTGTTGTCGAACTTCCGTATAGTTCAATTTTCTGTGTTTTGGCTGCGTATTTTGTTACTAAATCTTTGTTGTCTTTAAAACCTGGTTGTGTGAGAAAGCACCATGTTTCCACCTACACCTCCATCTTGGCGGAAGTCTCATTAGTTTATTTTGTTCATTAAATTCCTTTTTTTCCCCACATGTGGGAGCCAACTTCTGCATCCCGGAAAGGCCAGAGAGGAGTCTCTTTGTCATCAAGCCTTTGCTGGCTCCTGTATAATATCTGTGGCAGAATCAGGCCCATTTAAAAATTTAACAAATGTGCCAAAAGAAAACTACCACAGTATTAAATTCCTTTTATAAGTGAGATCATGTGGTATTTGTCTTTCACCAACTGGCTTATTTCACTTACCATAATATCCTCCAGCTCCGTCCATGCTGTTGCCACAACAGGTAGGAGTTCCTTCCTTCTTTCTCCTGCATAGTATTCTGTTGTGTAAATGTGCCAGTTTTTTGATCCACTCATCTACTAATGGTCATTTATGCTGTTTCCAACACTTGGCTATTGTAAATAGTGCTGCTGTAACACAGGGGTGCATAAGTTCTTTTGAATTGATGTTTCAGGATTCTTTGGTTGTATTCCGAGCAGTGGAATCACTGGGTTAATAGGTCCATTTTTTATTTTTTTAGGAGATTCCACTGTACAATGGCTGCACCAGTGGTGTACTAGGGTTCCCTTTTCTCAATATCCTTGCCAATACTTGTTGTTTGTTGACTTGTTAATGATAGCCATTCAGGCAAGAATGAGGTGATACCTCGTTGTGGTTTTAATTTGCATCTATCTAATGGCTAGTGATGTTTAGCATCTTTTCACATGTCTATCGGTCATCTGTATGTCCTCCTTGGAGAAGTGTCTGTTCAGGTCCTTTGCCCATTTTCATTTGGGTTGTTTGTCTTCCTAATGTTCAGTCATATGAGTTCTTTATATATTTTGGAGATTAAACCCTTGCCTGATGTGTCATTGGCAAATATCTTCTCCCATACAATCAGTTCCCTTTTCATTTTGCTGATGGTTTCTTCAGCTGTGCTTTTTAATTTGATGTAGTTCCATTTGTTTATTTTTCCTTTATTTTTCTTGTTCTAGGAGATATATTGGCAAAAATATTGTTACATGGGATATCTGAAATTTTACTGCCTATGTTTTCTGCTAGGACTTTTATGGTATCTCGACATATTTAAGTCTTTTATCTATTTTGAGTTTATTCTGGTGTGTGGTGTAAGTTGGTGGTCTAGTTTCATTTTTTTTTTGCATGTACCAGTCTAATTCTCTCAACACCATTTATTGAAAAGAGTATTTTTACTCCATTGTCTGTATGCTCATGCCACCTTTGTCAAACATTAATTGACCATAGAAACATGGGTTTATTTCTGGGCTCTGTATGCTGTTCCATTGACCTATCTGTCTGTTCTTATGCCAGTAGCTGACTGTTTTGATTACAGTGGCCTTGTAGTACAGTTTTATATCAGGTATTGGGATTTCTCCAACTCTAACAGGGTATGTGTTTCCATTTATTTGTATCTTCCTCAATTTCTTCCCTCAGTGTTCTATAGTTTTCTGAGTATAGATCTTTTACTTCCTTGGTTAAATTGAATACTTTATTTTTCTTGTTGTTATAGTACATGGGATTTTTCCTAGTTCCTCTTTCTGATAATTCACTGTTGGTGTACAAAAATGCCATTGATTTCTGAATATTGACTTTGTATCCCACTACTTCGCCAAATTCACTTGTTAGGGCAAGTATTTTTTTTGGTGGAGACTTTAGGGTTTTCTATGTACACTATTCTGTCATCTGCAAATAATGACAGTTCTATTTCCCCCTTTCCAATTTGGATACCTTTTATTTATTTTTCTTGTCTGATCATTGTGGCTAGAACTTCCAGTACTATATTGAATAAGAATGGTGAGAGCAACACCCTTGTCTTGTTCCTGATCTCAAGGGCAAAGCTTTTAGTTTTTGCCCATTGTGTATGATGTTGGCAGTAGGTTTCTTGTATGTGGCCTTGATGATGTTGAGGTATGCTCCTTCTATTCCCACTTTGCTGAGTGCTTTTATCATAAATTGGTGCTGGATTTTTATCAAATGCTTTTTCAGCATCTATTGATATGATCATGTGGCTTTTGTTTTTCATTTTTAATGCAGTGTATTATGTTTATTGATTTGTGAATATTGTACCATCCTTGCATCCCTGGGATAAATCTCACTTGATCATGGTGTATGAGGTTTACAATGTATTGCTGGATCTGGATTGCCAATATATATTTTTTAAGATTTTATTTATTTATTTTTACAAGGGAAGGGAAGGATAAAGAGAAGGAGAGAAACATCAATGTGTGGTTGCCTCTTGCACGCCCCATGCTGGGGACCTGGCCTGAAACTCAAGCTTGTAAACTCAACCAGGAATCAAATCTGTGACCCATTGGTTCACAGTCTAGTGCTCAATCCACTGAGCCACAACAGCTAGAGCTGGATTGCCAATATTTTGTTGAGGACTGTTCTATTTAATTATAGCCATCCTAGTGATGTGAAATGGTATCTAATTGTGGTTTTGATTTGTATTTTCCTGATGGTCAGTAATGTTGAGAAGATTTTCATGTGCTTATTGGCCATTTGTATATCTACTTTAGAGAAATGTCTCTTCAGATCTTTGTTGTAGTTTTAAATTGGGTTATTTCTCTTTTTAAAATTTAGTGTTAACAGTTTTAAATATATGTATTCTAGGTATAAACTCATAGTATATACATCATTTGCAAATATTTTCTCCCATTTTTGAGTTCACTTTCTTGATGGTGTTCTTTGAAGCACAAAAGTTTATAATTTTGATAAAACCCAGTTTATTTATTTTTTCTTTTGTCACTTGTATTTTGGTGTCATATCTAAGAAGACTTTGCTTAACTCAAGAGCACAGAGACTTACTCCTGTATTTTTTATTTCATCTGTTTGGACTGCCATAACAAAATACCATAGACAACAATATATATTTATGAGTGGCTAATAAAGAGCAGAAGTTTATTATGGCCTGGAAAGTCCAAGATCAAAGCACTGGCAGATTTAGTATCTGATGAGGATCTGTTTCCTGGTTCACAGACTGCTATTTCTCACCATTCTGTCCTCATGTGGTAGAATGGGCAAGGGAGCTCTCTGAGCTGTTTTATGAGGGCACTGATCCCACTGATGAAGGTTTCATCTTCATGACCGAATCACTTCCCAGAGTTTTCACCTCCAAATACCATCATTTTGGGTGTTGGAATTTAACACACGAATGTCGAAGAGACACAAATACTAAGTCTATATCAATTTTCTTCAGTCAGTTTTATAGTTTTAACTCTTACAATTAGGTCTGTGATTTATTTTGAGTTAATATTACACATAGATGTTTTAACAAATATTGTTGGTACATGGGAAATATACATGTTTCATGTATAGTTGCTAAATGGTCTAAAGGGCTTTCTGGAACACTACCATCTTAAATAATTCAGCATGCAGTACAGCAGCAACTTAGCACTTTAAATCTGGCTGGATTGTAGATAAAGACTGACATGTTAGATTTAGTATAACTGTAGAATTAATACTCAAAACCCCCATGCTGTATAGTTTTCCCACACGATACATAAAAATGCTATATAGTTTCTCACTCGTAAGCTGCTATATTAGGTTGCTAGCTGATTTTATTACCTCAACTTGCTTAATGTTTTCATTTATATACAATAGAGTTTTATATCACATCAGTCAAACCATGTATTGCAAAATAACTTACAGTGAAATCATAATAAATTTATACAAAGTATTGATTTAACATTAACTTTCAAACTGTGAAAAATCAATGAACCATAAATCTGTAAATAAATTGGTGAAGCAAAAAACATAAATGACAAGAAAAATTAGTCACTCTGTTGTGTATGTACTTTTTAGATAGCTACATGGAGAAAATATATGGGTAGAGCCTTCATAAAATGTAAAATTAGTAACATATAAAAATAACAATGCACAAAGAAGTAAGCTATCTCAACAAAATTGTGAAAAAAAAATCAAGAATCTGGTTCATAATCTTGACATACTGGTGTCACAATTCAGTTGAATGATAACCTGAAAAAGAAAGCAGCTTCATATTCTTTTGCTTTCAAGTAATTTTGAAGTAGATTGATAGTACAATGTATTTAATTTTTAGATTACCATGCTTCTGTTTGTGTGCATATGTTTGAATATTTTTACTATAGAAAAGACTACATTGGAGACATCACCTTTGCAGCATAATGGTCCATGTTCCCAGTGGATGTTTGAGTCCCTCAACTTACTTTATAAGCAGTCATTGAACCTGGGTTTGACCACTTGCAGTGATGGGAATCTAGAATCTCTGGTCCATTATGGCCTATTTGTTCTAGTCTTGACTGGTTGCTTAGAGATTGTGGCAATGCCAGTTCAGTCTTCATTTTGGTCAGAAAAAACGTTTTTTTTTTAAGACCATATTTACCAGACCCTTTGTAACCCAATCTCAGTGGTGTCCACTGGGCACAACAGAGACTAAAAAAGGAAGTCGCTATGTTGATGAAGATACCATTATCATTGCCTGGGAAAAAAATAAGTCCTTCATCTGGACACAAATTGGTAGTTACTGTGAAAAAAAGTCAGAGTTTTTGGTTGGAAAATTATGTTATAGGGATATACATTCTCATTAAGAGTCCTGGGATCCACTCTGATTGGACTTGTTTAAATTTAGTTCTTGTGCCCACCTCCCATCTCTCCCCGCCCCCCCCCACACTTACCAAGGGGCCAGGGGAATGGATGCATTAGGACTTATCCTTTGCTCTAACTCCAGGCCACAGGTAGTGTCCTATCAGGTCATGTTGACTATGACAGAATAAGTACAGGATAAGTCCTTCCACAAAAGGAAATTTGGACTGTGGCCAGGACTACGGTGAGTGTTGTGTAGGCGGCAGCCTGCACAACTCCAAGGATCATGATTCACACAATCTGCAGTATGATTGGTCCCCACCCTTCAAGTTTTGCATAACCTATGTAGCCGTATGAGTAACCCTAGCTGTGACTTGGAAAAGAAACAATAAATGCTGGAGAGGCAAATCACGATGTCTACTATTCTGATTAACTATATTTGTTTACCTATGTGTTCCTAAAAGGATACTTAAGAGAGTACTTATATAAGATCCTGAATCTTATCAGTATCTTTGGTCTATTTCTATACCCTATCTCTTCAACAGTGGTTTTCAATTCTTTTCTTTTCCTGCTACAATATGTACAAAGAATGATTTTCATGTAAGTTTATATGTAG